TGGAGAGATTAAAAAAAAGTCACCTGAGATTGGTCCCAAATGTGATATCTTGCCCAGCCAGGGCAGAGGCCCCGGACCGGGATCAAAAAGAGACATCATCAAGTTTGATTTCTTCTTGCTGTCTGCCTGGGAGTACAACATGCCGTACCACTCCGGCCTGAGGGGCAAAAAAGCAAACTACATATACAATTTGTTTGTATAATATAGCAGTCTTTATGGTGCAGGTTAATATAAAAGAGTTTATATAACAGCTCTGCTGCATCTCACCCCAGCTGGACCAGCGCCACCATGCCTTCAACCTTCAGACTTCCATGTAAAAGCACACAAAAATTGGGACTTTTGCCTGCCATCTGACTGGCAGAAGGTTCCTCCTCAAGCTCATCTGTGGTTCCGGTACCAACTTCATCCACATCTAAAATCAAGTACACATAATAACCTAAATCATAAATATTTGCTATTCTTTATTAATCAGAAAAAAATACTTGTTTTCATTTCTGCTGTCAGACAATTTTACTTACTTTTTTCTCATCTCTTCTATTAATGTTACTTTTAATCTTTTATATTACAGAATGAGATCAATTTTTTAAAAGAAGTACTGAAAGAAATTTGTGTGCATGACAAATAAAGGAAGCTCGAACCTCAAGGGATTTCCCAGCAGCTTTGCTCTTCCTTCCTATTTTGTTGGTTTCTTGTAGTCTGAGGCATTTCCTGATTCGTTCGTTATCAACCTTATTTACTAAAATGGATTTGTTCTGCAACAGCAAACTCTAAAGTTCTTTTTTCTTTCTTTCTTAAGTGAGTTAACATAAAGCTGCTTGAACATTTGGGTGTTTACATCTAAATACGAGGAGTTGTGCACAAGCTGCAAAGCTAATATGTCACCAATCAGCATTTCTCTATAACTGGAACATAGCAAAAGTATTAAAACCAACCTTTGTTTACAGCAATAGGTAATACCAAGTGTCTGGATATGACAGGAGGACTTGCAATGTCAGCAATTTCAATGAAACCCACAATCTCCAAATCTGAAAGGCATATAAGAGAAAGATTTGTTTAAAAAAAAAATGAAGAATTTAAAGAGGATACGAAACACTAAACATATAAAGGCCAGTTTACATCGTGGAGGTCTGCTCTCAAAAACTGACATAGATGTAACACTGTCTGTGAAAGAAGTGCTTAAAGTTTACTTAAATAAGAACAGTGTGGAGGACAGACTGTTTGAATCACCAGACCAACAGGATGAAGTCAGAAACTGATTTTTCCTCCTCAAACCAGCTGTACTGAGCGGCACAATCAGCTCATGCAATCAGCTAAGTTTCTTAGCCCAGCACAAAAATGATCCCCTTAAACTGATTTTTAGTTTTAGTGTCTTTATTTTCCTTAGAGTTATTGATTCTCTCACTAGTTAGCTAACGTAAAATAATGTAAGTCTACTAGCTGCCACCAGCCAACCACATGACGTCACGTTCCGTACTGACAGATTAAAACTTCAGCACTTATTTCTTAAATCCTGCTTCACAGTTACATCTATGTCAGTTTTTTAAAGTAGGGTTCCATGATGTAAATTAGCTTTTATGCGTGTAATGTTTCATGACCTCTTTAAATTAAACTAATCATAAAATCTGAAGCCAGCTGAGTACCTGTACTAACAGTCCGGGGCATGGGCTCCACCTCTTCATCCATCACGACAGGCTCAGGTCGAGGGAAGACCTGAACATCTGAGGATAGATTCCCACAGTGCAAAACCGCATGGAAGGGAGAGTATACAAGATCGATCAGCTTCCTGGGGACATGCAGATATAGAATATGACCAAAGATGCCCTTACTAAACATATGAAAGAGGTTAAAATGTTTTTTGTGAATAATCTAAACAGTTACAGTAGTACCCAAACATGGTCTGTACACTCTTCATGCAAAGCGGTCCCTCCATAGTAAAGATTTGCCCATCCCCTCCACTAAGGCGAAGTAATTCCTCCAGGTTGTCCATGGCATCAGTCATCTGTAACTGAAATTACACAAGACAGTGGGTCTAATTTTTCAAAGCTGGGCTATTTAGCTAGATTAAGTTAAACTTTTACATATTTGCAATTTAATGGCAATTTCCACATTCTCAATTAGATTGATCATGCTTCCTGAAAGGGACTGACAGACGGAATAAATATAGATCTAGGGCTGAGACTGTGGTATGGGGAAGACTGGTGGTTGCTCCTGGGCCTCGCAGATTCCCAAGTATGAAAATGAGAACTAAGAACCTGAGTGAAGGAAGTAGCCATACAATAGTCATAGGACAGGGAGTGAATGAGGTGTGGTCCTCCTCCTAAAAAAAATCTCCATGAGAAACTTCCTCACTTGGGATACAATAGCACAAAAACTTTAACTGATTAGTGCTGTGAGGTTATCTATAGCAAATTTTTGTCTGTTGATTCTGAAATGCTGACAGAGAAATCATCTTAAACCTTTAATCAAAGGTCACCTCATCTACAAATTTCATGACGATAAACATTTCACTCACATGTACTGTACCAGTGTACCTGCACATGTGATGTGACAATAAAAGTGATATGATTTGATGAATACCTAATATTTAATAACATGCAGGGTTTTTCCCCGATTAAAAGTTGGTGACTATTTATAACCATGATTAGTGTGCATATAGTCAACACAAAAAGACTGTGCTATTTCACTTATACTTATAAGTTTATACATTTTATGTTATTTTTTTTGCCATTTGAAAAATAAAATGTATTCAAATTTATTTTTTTAAATAACAGCTTTGTGAAGTAACAGCCTCTTTGTTGGAAGCCAAAATGTTTTATGTGCTGGAAAACTATAGTTTGAGTCTCTGAAGGTAGAAAACAACTGTCATACTGCTATCATCCTAAAATGTTCACAGAAATGTGTGATTTACAGGCGTCTAACACAGGCAATATGACCCTGAATTGTGTTTTTGATAGCTGCTTCTGGTATCATGTAACTGTAAGGATGGCTCAATACCTCCTCTGCATTGGCAATACACATGATGAACAGTTTGGTAGGAAAAGGGAAAGGAAGAGGAAATTTCTTGTCATCCCCACGTTGTTTCAGTGTTTGGAGGGAGTGGCGTAAAGACCCCTTCCCAATACCAAGGGATCCATCAGTAACCAGCACCACCTACAGGACATATGGAAGAAGTACATAAACATAACTCAGTATATGCACATATGGTTCAGATCACTACAGGAAAGCTATTCGACCAATAATAAGCAAAAAATAAATACAATAAATACAGAGGTGTGGCGATACTGAATAAAGTGTTAGCCAAATACCTGACAGGGGCAGGCACTACCCCACTCCTGCTGTACTACATTACTAACTCCATTTAGAGCTGCTTCAACACAGGTTTTGTCATAGTCTTCCAGGTTGCTCAGAGCCTCCTGTGCAGGAAAAAAAACAACATACGGTAATCCCAAAATCAGACCGCTTTTCAAGGAAACAAAATATACTTTGACTTTTCAGACAGATATGTCACATGAGCACACTTTACCTGCAATGCATTGTAGTCTCTGGTGAAAGGTACCAGGAGTTCCCACAGGGAAGAAAAGGCCATCAGCGACGTGAACTCCAAGCGGTAGTTTGAGGCCATGTGTTCAAACAACATATTGAGTCCGTGGACGGCCAGGTTCTTCCTCTGAAACTCTTCGACGCCATCCAATGACACTGGTCGTGTCATGGACAGAGACACATCCATTAACACCACAGTAGGCATGGCTCACCGCTTACAGATCCCAAATATGAAAACAGAAGTCCGCTGCAATGCTCCCACTAACGGATTCTACTGCGTTGTCGTCGCTGAGGCGTATTTAGCTTGAACAACTAAATACACAGGCGCCGTCAGTAAAGATAAGGGAACATATGGTAACATCCGAACTGTTAGCTAGTTGTTTGGCTAATTTACATTAGCATTCTGTAACGCTACGGCAAACGAATGAAATGTTCCAGCTGCCATTTAACCAAAATTACATTATAACTATCCAAAACCCAAGATACAAAGTAAAGAAGCGGTATCAGAAAAAATAATTACTAAAACCTACGCGCCTTTCAGTTTTTACGCTAACTAAACAATGGTTATGGTGTACTGTGCACCAGCACTTCCGTCCGGCTGACATTAGTGTACACATCAGCGGATAGTTCCCGGGAGATAAAAAAAAAAAAAAAAA